CCACCAATTCAAGAGATCAAAGCCACCAACAACAATGCTAATATAAGGAGCGGCGAAGTACTTATCAACTTCATTAGATATCTCCAAAAGGCGTTGCTCCCTCCTTTCTTGTATAAGCTCCTTCATCATTTCAATTTTGTTCTCATCACCCCCACAAGCTTGAATTATGTACTCCTCATTTAGTTCCACATCTTTCCAATGGAGCCCCAATGGTAGTAGAAGAACCCCTTCTATACTCATTATACAAATCAAGCAAGCATTTTTTAATCTCCATAAGCATCCAAGCTATCTTTCTATCATCTCATCCAAGTGTTTTGAGGCTAACGGTAATCATATGAAGTTTATAACAAGGGTCTAGAACTTGGCCAAACATAAGTGGGTTCACATTCTTAAAACTTCCCCAATACTTGTTAAATTTATGCATCATTGTAGAAGCCACCCTTTGCAATGTAGGATTGGTAGGATCTTTCTTTTTCTTCTCAATCTCTATTAGTAAAGCAACCACTTGATCCCATAGCAAAGTTGATGTAACATTTTTTGTTGCGCTAAGCTTCAAAGTAGAATCATAAAACTTCTTAAGAAAGTGGGTAAAGGCTAGTGATTTCTCCCAATCCTCCTCATCCGGAGGCCCCACTTTTTTTCCCAAATTCTTCTTTGAATCCATCTCCATTTTTTCAAAGTAATCACAAAATTGCACATTCTCCTCCACCATCCTAAGAAACACCTTCCTAAACTTGTATGCAACGTCAAGCATTTTATATGTTGCATTCCATCTTGTAGACACATCAAAAGGCACATTTGACATCTTGTCCATCTTGAATAAGATAGCAAAATCCCTAAACTTATCCAATCTAGCCGGTGAAGAATGAATGTACTTGACACAATTTCGAATTCCCTCAACCGACTTAGCAAGCTCCTTTAGCCCACTCTTGACAACTAAATTTAAGATGTGACAAGAACACCTCATATGTATGTACTTCCCACCAACCAAGAGGGAATTCATTTCCCTAGCCTCTTTTTCATGTAGTTAATCACAACATCATTGGCGGAAGCATTATCAACCGTAATGCTAAAGATCTTCTCTATCCCCCATTGGTTCAAAAACACCTCTAGAACTTTCCCAATGTCTTCTCCCTTATGACATGTGATCTTTATGAAGTTTATGATTTGTTTGTGCAACTTCCATTCACTATCCATGAAATGAGCGGTAACTACCATGTAGTTAATGTTTTGTACCGATGTCCAAGTATTGGTTGTGATACTTACCCTTTGATTATGCATTGCTTCAAATAACTTAGACTTCTCCGACACATAAATCCCACACACCGGCCGCAATCTTCTTCCTATTTAGAATCTTGAACCGAGGTTGAGCCTCTTTCATCATGTCAATGTACCCACTACCTTCAAGCACCTTAAATTGTTGTTCATCCTTAATGAGAAACATCACAACCTTTAACTCAAGTTTTTTTTGGTTAAAGGTGTGGGGGACCAATCCACCGCTTGTAGACTCATTTGTTAAGACTGGTTGATTATTATCCCCTTTCATATAAAGAGGTGAGTCTTTACAAACTTTTCTAAGGTAATGTCCTATGCTTGATGTCCCATTTTTCCCAGGATCAGCCGGAACCTTTTTTTCGCAATATGAGCAAATTGTAAGGTGAATGTATTTCCCTTTACCCAAGGTTCTTTTCACTCTCTTAGCATGTAACCAACACTCCGATTGCAACCCACTTACATCTTCATATTCATCGGGCACATCTCTTCTCTTACCACTTCCCACACTTTCATCCCTTTCTCCTTGATTTTGTTGTTGAGATTGCGTTTGAGGTTGGGGTTGGGGTTAGGGTTGGGTGGTGGAAGGTGTTCTAGTATTAGAGCCACACAGAGATTGGCTTGTCCTAGACTTATCTTGACCTAATACCGAAAATAAAACACAACATTATATCGTATACACATCATATCCAAATATAGTAGAAGCTTTCGTATAGATACACATCATACCAAAAATAGCACCCATTCCAATTGTCTCAATTAAAAAGCAAATAAAAAACAAACATAGATTATATTCTTAACTGCTTGTTATAGTTTACAAACCAATGTCTTGAGCTTAGGCTTACTGCTTACCCATCTTAGTTTATAATCTTTACAGAATATAGCCTAAACGCATATTGTATAATTCCCATCAGTACCGATCAATCACAGAAAACAGCCTAAATGCAGATTGTATAATTCCTCGAAACTAAACCCAACAACCAAAAAGCAGAAAAGCATAGAAGAAAAAAAGATATGCATCATTGACAAGTGATAACTCGATCAAAAGGTCATGCAATTCCTAATCAATTGAGTCTAATTCCATTTAACAAATCAATTACAAATCCCCAATTTATCAATTTAGGGTTTCTAAAACTTTTTTTTTATCTAACTCTTGAGAATTAACCTTGATAGGCGGAGTCCCAGTAGAGACGAAGATGAGATGGATGAGAGTGAGTGAGATTGTTCAACGGAACGATGGGAGAATCTGAGACAAGACGATGGGAGAGACGAAGTGTAGTCTGTGTAAAACGGCTGAAACTTGAAAGCTTGAAATGAGAGAGGGAGAGCGAATAGTCACTCACTAGTTTGTGTCTACTGTAGTCTGTCTGTAGGGTTTATTTTTAAATTATTAGAATATTATAAATATATATTATAATTTATAAATGTGTTATATTATAATTATATATTATATTATATTTTCGGTACGGTACGGTAATACCGTGGTAATGGTATCCATTATTAATATCGTACCATGAAATTTCGGTACGGTACAATACCGTACCATTACCGTTGGCACAAAATCGGTATGGCACGGCAATTTGGCAAAAAAATCCACCCCTAATCAAGCTGGTAGGGTCTTGGGTCACTATCACTGATTAGACACGCTACAATTTTATTTAATAATAGCGTTCACCTACAAAATAAAATTTCAGTATGACTGTAACGCAGCCTAAAAACACGGCTAGAGACAATCTTTTACTACAACCAACGATCCCGCAGAACTTTTAGAAAGAAAGATCCGAAGGGTACTAGGATTTCACCATCTTTCCAAATCACCACCAAACAATGATTGTTTTTGTTTTTGTTTTTATATTTATATGGGGAATTGTTATCTGACTGTAAGTTTCTTTTGTCTCTACCTCTTTTTATATTTTGAGGTCAAATGCTCATTTGGCTCTACGTTTAACCAATAAAGATTGACGCAGTTGATTGAAACAACCAACAGTGCATCTTAAATCGCAATATTACATGTTTTATTATAAATTCCACTTAAAGTTCAAAAATCATTGCTTTAATTATGTCCAATAAACGATATAATATTTACAAAGTTGGAATTTAAACATTGGAATCATTTACATCATGATAATCTCACAATAATGAAGTCGCACAACCATAATGCGCCTGTTTGGGCCATAAATAAAAACAAGGTTTGTTGTGGGTCTAAACTATTTTTATTTACACGAAAATAGCATGATTCCAACCATCAACTTTGAAGCTCAATTGGGATCATATCCCATAACTCAAACGATCACCTCACTCCATCCCAACTCGTTCGATGGTTCGGACATTATTTTTATCAAGATGCGTCTGCCAAGCAGACGATCAGACCTGGGAATATGTTGCATCCTTAAATGACAATGTACACGTCATTTGACATGCTAACGTCACCACCCTGCAATCATGCAAATTGCCACAAGACACTGAAGAAAAAAAATATTGATTATGCTATGTTTATTTTAGCAACATCATACATACATTTAACAATTAAATGGTAGAAGCAAACTTATATGCACTCAAAACAAAACTTTACCCATGAAATTTAAAGCCTACTAATGTGGTGAACCAAAGACTCAATTGAAATTCACAAAGAGAGTCGAGAGTTATTATACCTTTGTAGTTCATCTTTGCATACGTAAAGGATAATTATCTAAAGTGAGGGCCTTCATTCCTCTATTTGAGTTGGACTCCATAGCCTTCATCTTCATCATTTTGGCTCATTGGATTCTCAAAAGCCACTAAAGAAGGAGGCCTCTACATTTCGACACTAAAAATGATTGAGGAAGAAGATGAGTGACATGGGAGGAAAAAAAATGCAAGCAATCCTCTTCCATGTGGCCGACCTCCTTAGAAGAAAAAAAAAAAAAAAGATATTTTCTCTCTTTTGCCTCAAAGAAACCCCTAATGAAAGGTGGAGATATAATCCTCCTTATGCATGGCTTTCAACATAAGTGAAAATATCTCCCTTCTCACAACTATGCCTAAAGCCTTTGGGCTTTTGGACCTTTTGAGTTTTAGTTACTAAGTTTTCATACAACTTAAGTTAATGGCTTTGACTATTCGAAACCCATTAGGTCTTGAGGCCTAACACTAACTCGAGATCTAAAACAAACTTATTAGTTTGATTAATTAACAAATTAATTAATTCTAGCTATAAACAATTAAACCATTTATTGTCCTTACTCAACTCCGTTGTATTCTTCAATATGATTTTCTCTATATCAATACTCTTAATCATATTGTTTGGTTGATAGTTATTCATGTCTACTATTTGATCTAATCCTCTTGTCAATGTACTTCTCAAATCTCATTCATGTGTTGTGGCCAGAGACTCTTAATTATATCATAGAGTATTCTCCTTGAAGCGTTTGAAGGTTAGAGATCCCTTATTGTACACTCACATGCCTCCATGATTTGCTCAACCACAATTTGTTTTTAAACTCAATACGTATAAACATAAGACTCATATTCTATGTGAGTTGAACTAAAACTTACTCTGAAAAAAAAAAAAAAAACAAAAACTTACTCCAGTTAAGTAGAAACAATTAGCAGGAGAGAGATTGCAGCCAAAAGAAAGGTAAAAGGAAATTTAGAAAGCATATCTAGGGATAGATGCAGTTCCATCGATGAAAAGGATATATATCCTGAGCAACACAAAATAAAATAGTACTATACCACCATTGAACCAATATCCGAATCATATATATAAAATTCTAAATCATTAATTAGACTTTCACAATACTTGTACCAGTTCAATTTTTTTCATGAGAAAATTAACTGTATTTTGCTGTGTGTTTTGAAAAATTAATACAAAACTTGAAAGAAGATAAAACCCTAATTAGCGAGGATCATTTACAAATCCCAAATAGTCCTTCAAATTACAAGGGAAACATGGATATTGTTTCCATGAATTTCCATGCATCTTGAAGATCTTCACCACCTTATCCTTTGTAGAAGATCTGCCATCCATGTGCAACAATGCCACAAGCTTCTTCACAGGTCCACAAATCAACATTTCTTCCAATACCCTCTCGGTCGGATGAAAATTACAAATCAACCATATGATCTTCACCCCAATCTTGGTGGCAGCATTGGAAACATGCAACATTTTTTTGGAAATGGAAACAATGCCCAGACCATGTTCCACCAAGGCCTGCCTTCCCTCAGCACGTTCACATAACAACTTTATCACTTGTAACATTTTCTCACATTTGGATCTGTTGGAGTCTGGCAGTAGCTCTATGAGGACACAAACTGCACCCGCTTCAATTGCCCTCAGCCTGTTTTTCTTTGATGCTGTCAATATTTCTATCAAGACTTCCAAGGCACATGAACTTGCTTTGCTACATATTTCATCCGAAACAAGCTCCAACAAGGATTTAAAAAAATCTATACCTTGATCTTGTACCACGAAGCTCCAATCATACTGGGTTTTCGCCATCTTCTTGAATATGGTAATGGTATGGAGCCGTGCCTCAGCGCTTCCTCGCTGAAGCATGATGGCCATTGATCTGGTTGATTCTTGCTTCGATAACAATTTAAATGTTTTCCCTTCTTCCAATATGGGAAGTTGGTGAAGAATACAAAGAGCCTCCTCACAAGCTCTAAACGTAGTGAAATCCGAGCTCTCCAAGAGAATTTGATCAAGAATTTGGACAAGAACTTCGACCCCGTTTGATCGAATAAAATCATTTTTCGTCTCGTCATCTATCTCGATGATGGAACGGAGTTTCTTAATCGAATTTACCTTGAATGGGGATGACACGATTGTGTTGAGATGCGCTTGAATTTCGTCATGTTTATTTGAAGGCCTTGGTGTAGATGATGTTGAGCAAATAGCTTTTTTAGCATCCTCTTTGGTTTGCCATGCAACAATGAGCCTCTTGAGGGTGTGGTTTGGAATCATGTCGAAATTCTCAACGCTTTGCATTGTGGCAGGACAAGTTTTCTTCTTGTAGGAGAAGAACCATTTCTCAATGTTGTTACGCTCGTAGGTGACACCAGTGGAGATGGTGACGGGATCTTTCATGAGCTCCATAGAAATGGGACATCTGAAATGGTACGGAGGAAAGTCGTCCATGGCTGAATGATCTGCAGGTGTTTTTCTCTCTGATATCTCAAGATCCTCCATTGTAAAATCAAAGAGAAGTTGAGGAGGTTATGACTGATGAGGTTATTAACAATAGTGAGATCTCCTCTCACACACACGCAAATATGTATATATATATATAGTGAGGGGAGGAAGGTGTGGAAGTCCAAAAAAAGGGAAAAACTCAAAGTCAACATATGGATATGCATTTGGTAGCTATCCCTAGCTGTAGCATTAAATCTACAAGTCAGCACAGGAAAGTTTCTTTGTTTTGAATTTATTTTAAAAATTTTTAATTTTAAATTTAATTCTAATTAAGTACCATAAGTCTACCATAGTTGTGGTGATATTCCTATCTGACCCATTTCTTTTTGTTATTTTGCTTTCTTATCCAAAAATCTAATAATTTTATGAGATATATCCACCGCTGAAATAAACGTTTCTGCTTGGTAACACATGGCAAGTAGCTTGACCGCAAAAATAAAAAGATGGTAAGAACACCATGGCAAATTGACGAGGAGTTACTTTGTTCATGCATGTGTTTGGTTGACCATGTTTAAGATTAACTTCCCTTTCAGAAAATTCAAATTAAAAGAAACGGCGCGATTAATTAAAAAGGAAAAAAGCATGCCAGTGATAATTTTGCTGGTTCACAAATATGGCATTAACATAATATTTGAGTACATTTATTTGCAGGTTAGATGTATATACAATGAGGAGCCAATTAATTTACAGCAAAATCAAATTTTTGGAAAAATCAAATATATATAATATGACATCGGCTCATTCCTGGTAGTAACATGAATGAAAAATAATTATATCTTTAATTCCAGATTTGTTTGTGACAGCATTGTAATATGACTGATCAGGGAATAGGTCTCATTTTATCCAATGAATATGGATTTTGTTGAGAACGAATTTCACATCAGGAAATTAAAGCCTTATTTAAAACACTTACCACATAATGTATTATTTTACGTATTACAATAGAAGTGAACGACAATGGTGTATTCAGAATTTCTAATAAGAGGGTCAATCTAACTTGAGGCAAAGAATGAAATGACATACACCTTTAAGCCCAAGTGTCTTGAGTCTCTTTATCCTTAAGCACATATGAGATTAGGTTATGTTTAATTGAGTGACCTTTGTAGACCTTTAATTAGCTCCGCATGTGGTGAACGACATGATTGATATGTTTTACTTCTAGAGTATATTCATAAAATACAACAAACGTATGTGATAATTTAAGTGAAATTGTTATACCACATGACAATGTATCGAGTATACCGAAAAATATTTCATAATGCACCAAAAAATCTCTCATAGTGCAGGCTAAACCTTGATGATTTGAATTCACAGCTCATCTGGAGATCAGGGATCCTTTTTCTAATAACAGGGCATAGGGAAGATTTTATAAGTTTTGGTGTGGGAAAACAAAATGAACATAAATATCCGCCCGTTTTGGGAGTTGACTTTGAAAAGTTGGGCACTATTGCAATAGATATATAACCACTTACATCTACATCATACGTTGCGCGCACAAGATATATATATGCATGGTTTGAATCTGCAGTTTTCTCTTTTCTTTTTTTTTTCTTTTTTAAAATTTATAACTGATCATATTAAAAGATGGAGAGTTTTCAACTATATCTATGAATTTTCTACATGTTTCAAATCAATCTCACAAAACACACGGCGAATACTGCGAGGCTAACATGTTCTCAATTAAGTGTGTACTTTTTATAATATTAGGAATATGACGGAACGAAAGACCAAGATGTTTTTATGTTCAATAACTTGTAGCTACCAACGGTTGAGCTGCCTTTTGTTGACAATGATATATACCATCTAACTCTCCAGGTGAAAATCTGATCAAATTCAATAAAAAAATAAAAAAATTGGAGTTGGATCAACAAATTTTTATTTCTAAAGTTTATTATTATTAAGGGAGTTGGATCAGCAATGTTTGACAGAATTATAGAAAAATAGAGCTGATGATCACGCTAGTTTAACAAAAAAAAAAAAATCGTTGGTTTTGTTTAAATAATAGAAAATTGGAGCTGATTGCTAGTTGACAAAAAAAATCATTGGTTTTGTTTAATCGGGTCCAATAGTACGTGGTATCCAAAGGAGAGCTACACAAGTTGACAATCTTTTTATCCTTAATTTTATTACGAGCGACATTTTATATTAATTTATACCAAGAGTAGAGGGAAGTATTTAAACTTGAAATGCAATGATTGAAGAAGAAAATCTTAATTTTCAGGACAATCGGCAGGTATTGATAAATTTGAGTATAAAATGCCTTAGTTCTTTCTAATAAAAAAAACAAGAAAACTGATTTAGTTTCTTCAAATGTCTACATTTAAACTATAGGGAAGTTCGAACACTATTTTACTAAGGGTAATGCTAGAGAGCTTGAATTCTTAAACTAAATTTTGTGCATAAAATAGTTCGCCAATCATATGTGCAGTATAGTTGTACTATATACTGCAGTCTGTATAACCAATCACTATTAAGCGGGGCGATTTTGTTTGGTATGAACTAAAACTAGAGGGGAAAATTTAAACCATATCACTTATTGGGAAGTCTAGGCCCGAGCTTATCCTTTTTTTGGGCATTTTATTAAGTTTTAGCCTAATTACAGTTCAAAACCATATGACTTGATGTTTAACGTATCATTTGCAATTCAGACATTGCGTCTACATACTTTTCAAGTCTAACAGATACGTGAAATGAAACGAGATATATTTACACTGTGGTGTTGACAGAATTCATGAAGTAATTCTGAAAGTTTGACAAATTAAACTAGATATTATAATATTATGAAACCAAAACCAGGATTTACGTTTGGAAGTTGACAAAACTCTAGAAATTACATTTAACCATAACCATTTACCCGTTTTTTAACCCATTTATCCTTTTTTACCCGTTTACCCTTTTTTTTACCCATCTTACATGTTTTTTTTTTTAACAACTTGAAAATTACAAAAGAAAAATTTGTCATAATTTTCGTTATAACCGTTGTATGTGCTTACCAGTATATTGTTATAATGGGTATCAATTTAAAGCATACAAAACCTAGCTAGTTCTGGAATCACAAATGCTCGGCTTTCTCCATCCTCTCATGCTATTTCAGATGATGGTATGTATCTGTCCTAAACTCTCTTTCGAACCTTGTCATTAGTCTAGACCAGATTTTGTTTTTAAGTTTTTGTGTTATATGACAATTCTTGTACTGAGGCTTCACCTACACATTTTTCAAAATATATGCGACCCTAAAATTATTCATGTGCATTGGAGAGTGACTGAGTTATTGAGTCAAATATAATGTGTTAGCTTTTACCATCATCTGTTACAAACAAAAAATATAGTAGTCATTATCGTTGCATATGAAGTGTATATATTCCCAAATTAAAAAATTTCACTGAAGTTAAATAAAAAGGTTAGTCTTATAAGATTTTTTATACTACATTTATCATTTTTAATAGAGATAAGACTCACATATGTTGGTAAACCTTATCTCTATTAGACAAGATGTGATTGTGATATGAAAAATGTGGTCGTGTAGCAATTCTCGAAGTTAAAATTTGAAAAAAAAAGGATCCACTTTATATGGCCAAACTCTTAGCATTTTAAGATATCATATAACGTCATAATTAAGATGCTCAAAGTTTTTTTTGTTTTTTTTAATTTTATTTATATCTTTTTGTTTTTTTTTTTTTTTTCATTCATCTTGGGTTTGAAACTCCCTTTTCTTTAAATTATTTTTAGCCGGAAAAATGGTAAGGTGTATGTTGGGCCAAGTGGTGGCAAGGAAGTGTAGGGGAGATCATATGCTTAAATTATATTAATATCCTTGGTAATATAATAAGAATGCTCATCTGACTGTGAGAGATGTGATGGCAAGGCCTAGTCTATATATGCGTCGTGTTAGTCGGTAGTCAAAGCTTATTTTTAATGTTAAACTTTTCTTATATAGCGGCAAGATCCATGTGGAAACAGAATAAGCTAGTAAGTCAGAAGAAGAAGGGAAGAGATAGTAAGATGCCCAATTGTCAATTTCTTGTTTATCTATGTTATTCAATGCTAGCTTTTTTATCAACACCTTCAATCTTTCCATGTTATATTTTTCGGTTTGATTAGAACTATATATTTGCTCAGAAAAATCTCCCAATATAATATGGAATAGTTAACAACAAAAGTGAATCAAGACTCAAGTTTTAAAACTCGTTTAATTCGATTATCAATTTAGATAAAATTGTAATTTCATTAATGAGGCTGATAAAGGATTAGATGAGTCAAATGTTGGAGTATGTGGCCAAGTGGATAAGTGTCCAAAAGACCTTTCGGCTAAACAAACATATAAAAAGAAAAAGAGAAGGTGGACAACACCTTTCCTTGTTTTGGGGAGAAAAAAAGGGAAATTTTTTTTTGTTTTTTGTTCTCTTCAACACCCGTGGGTGTTGGTTTAATAGAAAAGAATTGCCTTTGAAGCTAGAGAGAGATATAGAGCTCATTTCGGTGAAGAAGAAAAAACTAGAGAGAAAAAAGAGCTCATTTTTGCAGAGAGCAAGGGAGAGTTGCAGAGAGCTTAAAACAGAAGAAGAAGTTGCTGCTTCATTTGATTGGTAATCATCAACCAAAGTAATTGTTGTTGTAATAGTTTTGAGCTATATGTATAGAGAAGAAATTATTCTTTATATTTCTTTCTCTATTTGTTTCTTTGGTGTGTGAGAGCTATTGGGTGTATTGGGTTTTTTGGGTTGTGAGATTGTCAACCTTTGTAAACTTCCATTTGGTTGATAGTGGATTATTGGGTGAGCTCCTACTGCTCCGAGGACGTACTCCAGTTACACTGACTGTTGAGGAACCTCGTTAAAATCTTGGTGTCTTTTATATTTTGTTCTTGCATTTTCATTTGATAAATTTCCTGTGGGTTAGCTTGAGTTCGTTCCATAAAGTTTGGTGCTATCCTAGCACAACAATTGGTATCAGAGCACTAGTTGCTCTTGGGTACTGTCTAATTGCCAAAAATGTCAGACGGGCAAGATGAGAATCCTTTTGGAAGCAGCTCCGGATTTGCAAGAACTACG